ATGACCAATGGACTAAATATATATGAAACGATTACTCACCGAATGCAATGGAAGGGGATTGTGTAATATCATCAACCAATTGAGGTTAGTCATGTGAACCAATGCATAATAATTCAATGATTTAACGCTTAAGGATTTGTTACGAGACCTGAAGGTCCTGATTTCGATCTCTGGTGGGGTGATGGTTGTTCACATGTTTCTGGGAAATACCTAACCTGTAATCTCTTATTTTCACCAGTTGTCTAATTATGATCGGTCAGTGATGTATACAATAATGTTCACAAATTTCCACAAAGCCTTATACTACATATGTTAATTGTCTACCGCCCATTTTCTAAATTATCTTTTTATCTATCTGACTAGCTTTCCTAATTCTTTATTATGTAAACAATAAGAAGAGTGTTTTGGTTAGAAAGCACTTGTGGTTTTCGGATACTGTATAAAATCTAAACGTGTCATTAGTCTTATTATTCATTAAATTATGTGAATCTCTCTACTTCATATTTCATACATCAATTTATTCTGCGTTTATACGAATTTAATTCATTTCAATGCTTTAAAATAGAACCAACCAAAAATATTTATCATTTATACACGAACGTTATATAAAAGCTGTTAATTAATGAACATAGATTATAATACTGTAATTATTTCATCATTATTATTGTTTCACTTCTAGTTACCATATGTGAATAGATATTTAATACTTTTAAAGCCAAAACAAGTAATGGTCAAAAATATACACAACAGTTGAAAGATATATAGCAAATTACAAAATTTGTAGGTTAATGTTTAGTACACAACAAAAGTATCTATGTTTTTGTAATGAATGTAAATCTCTAATGATTTTTTTATGTGTTTAATAAAGTATTCTATAATCACTACATAGAATCAGACGATGTTAGTTTGTCAGAGTATAATTTAGTCTGTTATATTATGTTTTTGTTTATATATTTACTTTCAAACCATTGGTAACTTGGTAAAATCTAATTAGAATAATCACAGTATCCGTAGAATTTTGTTTTTTAAAAAAATTTTGGAAGAAGTTGATTATTCACAAACATTCTTTTATAGTTGAATCATTGATTATTAATGGATAGTTATTAGGATGTTATAGATTAAGAGAAACAAATTTCATCATTTTTTAACATAAACATTGACTATATCCTTTTCTGGTTAAATATTTTTTAATGAACAGTTAGTATAAGAATAATACTTTGTATGTTCTTAGAACAGGATGATACAATTTTCTACTAAATTTCTTTCAATAGTAATTTTTTTGGCTCTGCTATAAAGTATTTATAGGCTGATTATTTAATACCATGATGTAAATATTTGTTCAGTTATTCATGGAGTTTCGTTCTCTGAGTTGGATGGTTTGGTCGTGGTGCTTTCATCGTTCTTCTGAATGACATAATCAGCACAAACTTCAGATAGAAGTGAAGCGGACGTTTTATCCACCTGAGCTACAAATTTTCTCCACCATTCGCTCAGTTAGCTTGATCGCAAATTGTTTTATATGAATATATACAATTCTGTTTTACTTTTACATTAGGACAAATAAACTATTCCGATCGTAAAATGAACATTAGAAATTCTATCAAAAGTCATTCACATTTCATATCATGATAGAGTCAAGAGTATTGATAAATATACTGTCCAGTTATCATACTAATCATCAGATCTTAATTTCAAAACTATCAATAATACTATAGGGCGGAGATGTATGATGACTGTTGGTGAAATCCAAGAGGCACATTCCGTTCTGTTTAATACTCGTTAGGTGGATGTAATTGCATTTCAGCGTGAATGCTCAACCCGGGACGCCAACTCAGTAACATTCGCTAACACCAGTATCGTTTTACATAAATTCTTGAATGATGTTCAAATGCATTGTTTCATGAACACATACTAAGTTCACTTACGATTCTGATACTTCATAATGCTTTCATTTTATGTTAATCGACAAAATCATTTACATTAGTTTTCAATTCAAATTTGCTTTATTTATTGAAAAACTAAAAATTTCAAATAAATTCCTTCCAAGAAATAATAAAGTTTCTTTAATTTGTTAAAAATTATATAATGACGAAATCCCACAGAGTGATAATATTAATAAAGTATATGTTTATTACTATGACTAACATTAGTATTTCAAACAGTCTGAGTAATTGAATATACATAAATTAGATGAAAGTGGGGATGGAATTATTTCATGTGATGAATTATATTCAGGATTGAGTAAAGCTGGAGTTTCCCCAACTGTTATACAGGTAAGTAACAGTTCGATCTGCATTGAGACTCTTCATTTATCCGCAAAATTTAAAGCAGTAAATTAATTTATAAATTTATATAAGTACTACAGAGAAAGCAAGTCGCATCACACAACTGAGTTATTTATTCACTATTTCATGTAAACATAACTACTGATTTTAAATTATTATACACTCGACAGTTATTTAGTGAGTAACACATATTAAAACATTGAATTATCACGTGTACATGATATGTCTGTTAGTTCGTGATAGTAAAAGAATGAATCACAAATAACTGCTCAAGTGAAACGCTGAATGATCTCGACATAAGCAAGTATAATTGAAACCGAAACTGTGACGGCTTCAAAAGTACTGATTTACTGATTGTTGTTACTATCATAAAATGTCTCAAACCATTAGTTATGAGGATCACGTGAAAATCAAACCAAGCTGTCGGCATCTATTCACATGGCTCAGTGCAGCAGTCAACGACTTCATGAACTGATGTCATGTCTTCATTTTTCCAATCCACTATCTTTCTCCTAACCTAGTCCGAAAACAGACAACATCACTCACAGAGGTGCATGGTGATTAAGTAAATGCAGCACATGTCCAAACCAACTCACTCAATCAATATTTGCCAATTCGTCAACCGATTCTCTATTTTCGGTCAACACACTATTCCACATTTCAGTATTGCCATTCACGTGGTCACATAGAACATGGTCGATTGTTTGAACACATACATTATCTGATTGTACTAGTCTATAATTATCCCCTCTTCTCGTCGACCAAGTTCTACACCAATCAAGTAGAAAAGCCTGAACTATTACTCACAAAACTCGATTTTGGATTAACAGATGAATAGCTCATCTATGAAACAAGTGATGCGAATGGCAAAAGCCAATGTATACCTCTGAATACATGGTTTTGTCAGCCACCAGTCAATCCTGACTGATAAGACTTCACAGTAAGTTGAAGTGGTTGACACACTCAACTACTTCACTCTCTATCACTAGTTAGTTCGTTGGCGCAAACCAGTTGAGAAGCAATCTTTTTCATTGAGAGGGAGAGTGAAGAATACACAACCTGATTTCATTGTTGCTGAATGTGATTGGAAGACTCAGGAGTTGTCAGTTTTCATCAAAGACGATTACGTTATACGCGTATTCCGAGTCGGTTAGTAAACCTCTTATTACGAGATCAACTTCTGAAATGTTAGTCTAATAAAAAGTTATTGCCCGGAGGCTATCGATGACAAATTTAAGTAAAAATGGGAATAGTGGGCATTCCTGACGAACTCTACTTGGCATTGATATTTTTGGTGACAGTTCGTTGCAAACTCTAACTTGATCAGCTGTACCTGTGTAGATGGTCTGTGCAAGGTTGGTGTAATCGTTTGTTACGCTTCTCAACGACAAACATTATTGCCTTTTTCGTGTCTGCTCTTCATGAGCCCTATATGGGTATTGGATCATAGTTGAGACTAATCTTTTGGACATGACATTAGTCACACTGATTCTTGTGTGGTTGGTACAATATGGCTTTTGTCTGTTTATTACAAGCCGTGATGACCAGAGCTTGAAACAATTCAGATTGGACTACGTTAAGTTACCAGACTCTCACTAACATCTCAACAACTTGTATTGAACCAATTTCTATAACGATTTCGGTGGATAATCCATCTAGATCTGTTGGCCCGCCTCATTTTAGAATGCTAGCAGCATGTTATATCTGTGTTGGAGTTGTCAGGTTAGAAAATGTCTCTATTCACAATATGTGGACTTGATAAGAAATTGAAGAAGACGTTCACTATTATTTGGTCGTAAAGTTTATTGCAACTCTTCCACAGTCAATTTCGATTATGGTTAGATTTTTGTTGAGCACTTTTATAAAATTGCTTAACATACAATGTTATTCAAAAGGGAACAGTTCGCATATTTCTTTGTAATATTATGATCGCTATCTTGTCTGTATTAACGTGTACGCTTGATTACATGACAGCCTACGCACATCTCTCAAGCTCAAATGTTAATAGCTTACATATCGCTAGATGAATCATTCTCTTCCCCATGTATATATGTACTCCAGTTCAATTTTTAGCCTTTGCTTTGCTTTGCTGTACTCTTATGCGATTTGACTATAAATTCGCCACTGTATTCGCTAGCTCACATATTCGCTTCTGCTTCACATTCGCTCGATGTGCTTGTAGTTTTGTGATCCGTGCTATCCACAAATAAACTGTAGTCGCCGCTTCTTATTACCTTCTGATTTCAAACACCATTAGGGTTTATATAATAACGGTTATCACGGTGATTGGTTAACGTATCTTTGTTCAGGATGTGAATTTCCTAGTAAGTGATCAACATGTGAAAACTCAGACGGTGAATGGGTTATCTTTAAGAGAACTTTTATTATGAAGCTGAAGAAAAATTTATTATGTGAACAACCTTGTCGAGCACTAAATGAAGTTGATTATAAAATAACATTCATTAAATAGTTCTTTCAAAAACTAGAAACAATTCAACAGAAGTTACTTTTATTTAATACAATCATCTTACATATATATCATTCAAGCATATAAAAAAGGATACACTAAATTAAACTAAGCTACAATGTTTGAATAAAAATTGGTATATTTCAATAATCAGTTTAATAATTTTAAAATACTTAATAAAATATCTTGTACAATACAATACATTGTTGTATTTTGGATAGGCGTGTTAAAAAATAAGAGATTCTATTTTAGTTAACTCCATGACGTATAGCTTTTATATATTCTTGATATGTAACACTATTGTCAGAATTTGAATCAAGCTTTTCTATAATTTTCTACAAAATAATTGGAAGAATTCAGTCAATTATATATCTATGTTTACATTTTGATAAAAGATTGAACTCATTCAACGTGTACGAGAGATATATTGACTGTGAATCAGTAAGAATAGTCTCTTTTCAAATGTGAACATTTTAATATGGATATACTTTTGTAAATATTTTGAATTATAATAATTGACTACAGCATCATTTCAATAGCTTTGATTCTACAGAAACGGATCTATTATTAAAATACCTCTTTATGACAATGAAGGACGTTCGTTTCAGTTACACAATAAGAATTGACCATAAGCGTCGTTGAATCTCAGCTCGAAGATTTAAGTATTCAATAATAGTTTGAGAATAAACGTGAGGCTTTCTTTTACGCTAAAGATAAGCAAATTCTTTTTATTGTAATGTGTATTTCAATGTTACAACGAATTTCGCTCCATTTTTAAACAGTCGTTTCTTAAAGTAATATACTTATATTAATTACTTTATGTAGCTTACGAAGTCAATCAAATCAATATATCAAATGATGTTTATAAAGCGTTTGAATTTCTACCAAACAATATATGTAAAAAGATAAATGTTTGTTAAATAAGTCTAAATGGACTGAACTCAGGATTACATATAATATCTACACACTAGCTAACATAAATCAACTATTCTCTGTTTGGTATTATTGTAAAAGTTTGATGAAGGTATTTAAACACAAATATGATAACCATAAAGATGATAGTAATAATCGCACAATTAAAACTGTTTACATAAAAAAACTGACGTTTACTACATTCTCTGTAGCTCCTGATGATCGTAATCCTTTTTTTAATTCTTCTATTGAAAGTATACCATCACCACTTGTATCCATTCTAGTGAACAAATTCAATAATGCTTCTTCATCAGACATTTCTTTCTTTTTCTGTTTTATCTAACGAAAAATAAAATAATTCAACAAATAAAAGGATGATTAAGTTATTTGTATAAATTTATTGCATATTAAACCTAAATGTTTTGGCATATTTGAAATGTGATCATCATTAGGTAACGAATATGTAAAGTTCAGTTTCTGGCTACCAAAGTATTACGTCGGACAGATTATTTATTTATTTAAAATTTCAGTACATATTAGATTAATGTTAAACTAATACGTGAGGTCAAATTTACTACGATTTTCAAGATTTAATCAAAGAATTATGAGAAAATACAAATAGTTTTACCATCACTAGTCTTAAAGTATGGCACCAACACAGATAAGTATTACTGGTATAAGATAATATTATCACTGATTAGTTTAAAATGATCAAGGTTTTAAAATCTTGATCAATCATTCCATATTCAAGCAAAATAATTGTTAACCGAATTCTTATTATAATCATGCAAACAAGCACTGTCAGGGAAGTCCTACTCACTACCTTCTCGCGGCATTACTGTTGTTTACGAAATTGGGAAGAAGAAAAGCGGATGCCCGGCTCCTTAAATGGGTTTATGAATATGGAGGATCCACATAAGGGAGTTGGGAAACACTGATTCCAAACCAATGGTGCACATGGGCTTCAGTATCCTACGGTAACAAATGGCGTATGAACCGATCGTTGGTCACCGGACACCATGAGACTGCATCTCCTAACGTTGCTCCACTGCCTTGTGGATTGAACCTTTAGGTCGAAGGCTCCGGGTGTGGTACCTTCTTGTATCAATGTTTATGTGTATAAATAAATAATTAAAGGAAGGAAAGATATATAAATTATCAAGCTTAGATTAATTTCAAAGTACTCACGTAATGTTTATTAACAATTGAAAAGTCATATTTAACTCAATATCTTGTATTAATTTATAGTATTTCAACTACAAATCAACAATTTATTAATAACCTCATAGCTTCTAATTAGTTTCTTATCACTTCTCTATTTATTTCTCATAATAAATTAAAAATAGTAAATTCACCTTCAAAGTCTATAGATTAGAATTGTTGATAATTAGTTGACTTATTTTATCCGGATGAACTGCCGTCTATCCTTAATTAATCAACAAAATGTTTGTATATATATTTTTTTGTGATAAACATTCGTGCATCTGAAAGTATATGAATATATATGAAATATTCTTTTTAAACCATGAATCATATTTATATATCCCACCTGGGGGATTGTAGATACGCACTACTGAGGAGTCCCATACTGGGACGAAACAACAGATCAATACCTCCAGGTTTTCAATGGTGGTGTAATATCGATCGATTCATGATCCTAACCGAAAACTTTATACTTATATTTATAATAAAGGATTAAATTAATGAATATAAACACATGAAAGTATTCGACATAAAACTTATGTTTGTAATAATCTCACTGACTGAACTTAAAATTTCAATTGTTAATAAAATTTATTTAAACTTCAGTTGTTGAGATCATTTTAAATATAACAATTAAATTTTTAATTTAATATTTACTTGACACCAAATACTTACCAAACGGACTAATATTCATATAGCATATTTTGCAAAACATAAAATCCCTCTAGCTATTGTATTTGATACATTCTAAGACAACAATTAGTTTTAGGAAATTGTTAAGTATGCTCATTGGATTTATCAAACTACATTTTTGATTTTGTCTTAAGTCTAAGATCTTTTTTATTAAAAAAACTTAAGCTGTATTATTATAATGATGACAAACCATTCGCTTTGCTCCTATATATCCTGTAATAGAACTAATCACTAGCAAGCCAGAACTCGTGGATGCACGATAGACTACAAAGGCAGAAAACCGACCCATTTCGAACAGTCTCTGTAGCGTTTCCGTGGCTTTTGAAGACTTTCTACCAATTATTGAAGGCTCCTAACCCGTCTACTCATTAGGAGAATAATAATGTATTTTTGGGTCCATCTAAAACGTTATGGCAGGTTCATTGTGATGCCCCATCTTTATATATATATATATATATATATATATATATATATATATATATATATATATATATATATATATATATATATATATATATATATAAAGTATGACTTTCTCAAGGAACTTTCCCATCCAACTACCCTGCTCTTTATCAAAAACTGTTTAAAAATGTCCATTCTCCATGGCTTTTTGATCATGGATTTCAGAGAATAGTGTAAATGATAAATCTCAATACATCTCTCGGAAGGACCCGTAATGAACTAAAGGCCATTACCAGTCAATAAATTCTCTGGAACATCAAAATAGGTGAAAAAGTTAGATAATTTACTGATCACTGTTTCGTTTGTCTGATCCATCACGATTTATATTTATATATATAAACTAGTAAATCACAAATCGTAAGATAGGGTTGAATAATAAAATAACTATCCAAATGTTTTAAGGTTTCAGCTCAAATATGTTGTAGTTTATTAATTAGTATGTAATTTGAAATGAAAAGTTAACGAGAACTTCTTTAGTTCATCTATTCCTACACGATGTTTAAAGTCTTATCATTCGATATACGAAAAATGTATGGCTCGCAGATGACTCTACATTTTTATGAACTTTGTAAACCTTTGGACATAAATAACCAAGAAAATAAGGTTATTTAGAAGTGTCACGTACTCAAAATAATCCAAATTATTTTCCGAAGTGCTGGTTATATAATAATAAATGATTTTGAGACTCATATTTGATTTAAATCGTCCCAATTTATTTGTGACTTAAAAGCATTTCTATGAAATCAAAAACTGTACAAAATGTTCATCAGCATCAAATCTTCACAAACTCTATCAAATTTCGAAATGCTAGGAAACTTCTTTCGCTCAATCGATCTCAATACATTCGATTCGCTTATTTTTACAAACTATGTTATTTTTATATTGGTTGTTTAAATCTACCCATTGATGTTTCGGACCGCAATTGAACGATCTTTTATTGGCATACATACATCCTATACAGATTGCCTAGATATTACCTTAAATCACAATCATTCTGCAAGTTGGATATTAAAAATCAAACATCATGTTTATAACTACTAGTATGCTGTTGTACCCTATTGACTAGTGATAATTTAATCGTAACATTTATGTATTTACTAAAAGTTTAAAATCATTTTGTTAGATAGGAAATAGTTTGGCACTGTTTAATATACAACTCATTTGACAATTTTAAAAAATATATTTGAGTTTAAAAATAAAATAATTATAATAAACTCATATGTTTTTCATAAAGTTTTTATTGTTGTTTATCAAACTTAAGAATTCTGAAGGTAACAAAATGTAAGAAAAAACTACACTTTTTGGAACCACATGCAAAATCATCAGAGCATCCATTTTCCCCATTTTTATTTAGCTTTATCATCGACTTGAGTCCTGGATTCCACTGCTAGCCACCCTCTATCTTTGCTTATAATGTTTGTGAGTTAAGGAAATATTGAAACAATCCGGACAGGATGCATATATGCCAATAAGAGACTTATCCAATTGCAGTCCTAAACATCAATGTGAAGATCCAAACAAACATTACAAAATGAATTAAAAGAATAAATTATTTATTACTGTCATTAATATGTTAATACCTAATCAGGGTTTTTTATGTTTCACATAGCATAAGATTTACCTTGGTATAAAGTAGAAGTGCCTAAAATTATTAATGTTAATACTCTATTTCTAAATGTTTATTGTTCAGAAATGTTCACAATTTTGTACCAAATAATTTATTTTCTCTATTACGCAACCTATTCATAGTATACAATAGTATAGAATCAAACAAATTGATTTTACCGAAACGTGAATAATAAGTCATACGACTAATTTTTAAACAGAGACTTTTATCATCACATGAAAGGCAATAATAAATGTTAAAATGATGATGGTATTCAAACTAGGACGCAAATCTTTTAATAGATATAATGTATGCGCACTGTTAAGGAGTCCCACACCAGGAAGAAATAGCCGTCCAGTACTTCCAGGTTTTCTATGATGGGCTAGTTTTATTTGACTCATGAACTCAATTATTAAAATACTACAATATCTATGTACAATTTGTAGTGAATTAAATTGTTTTTTTTCTCAAAAGAAATGATTTATTTATGTTTATATATACTATTAAGATACACAACTATTTCATAAAATTGTATGCTGTTGTTTTGAGCAACAAGTAGTGAATCCATAAACAATACTTTCTAGATTAAAATTACATTTTACAGTTGGTAACTTCTAGGTATCGATGCCAAGGTTTGACTTGTTAGTTTCAAGCAAATGGAGCACTGGCTAGAAAGTTAATAATAAATATTTTTTTGTTATAACCTAATGAGTAGAAAAGTTGTATTTCTGAAGTACTATTTAAACTTAAGTTAATTTAATTTGGTTATATTTTTTCCCTGAAGAAGTGGCTTAGATTAAGTCACGAAACGCCCAAAACAAACATTTTCCACTCATTTGGATATAATAATGAATAGGATATTTTTCTTAATTGATGACGTGGTCAAATGTAGTATTTTCCTCTATTGCGAAACATTTGATTGAAAACGGTCACAAGGTTGATATCAAGTGACCATTTGTAGTCTATTGAAACCTTGGCCATGTGAAAACTGAAAACTCCTTTACATGTTCTAAAACCTTATGTTCTTACGATTAACCAATTGGTATCCAGCGTGGTTTTTACTATGTGTTTGTGTACTTTATCATTATCTTTGTTTCTGCTTACCTTTTATTTCTTCATAAATGATATCTTAACAAGTGTACATGTGATCAGATTGTTTGGAATATATTGCGTAAGTACGTCAGATAATTCTAATAACCATTATCATCTCATTGCATTATCCAAGAATAGTGTATTATTTTCTTTAACCAATATGTTCAGACATAATACTCAAGAATTGAAGCAAATTACAAAACAGTGAAAGAATACTTCATAAAGTCATAAAATGGTTAGTACTTAGTAAGAAAATTGCAGT